TTATTTATGCAACCTCTGTTCTGGAATATACCGGTTCTGCGTTCGATTCGAATACGCTCATAAATGTGCATGTAATTACATATTTGAAGTAAATACATGCAAATAAGCCGTGAAAATTACGTGAACCGTAAAAGAACCGACACAACGACCGTAATTTCTCCGTCGAAGGCGTGTTTCATGGACAATTCACATTTTACTCAAAGTTTTATAAATTGAAATTATAGGATCGAATACCTACACCATTTTTTTCACTCGCGAAATTCTGTCCTTGTTCAAATGTTTCGCGCGCTATATTCCTCGATAATCTATGCGGGATTAAATATTAATTATTAATCATCAACGTTATAGTCTATATGAAGGTGGCCGGAAATCCAGCGATACGTGGGCAAGCGAGCGGTGATATAGGTAACTAGGTGATGCTTATCAATATACTACTCACGCTGCTCTCAACCTGTCAGCGTTACCGGCTAACGTGACTCAACGGTGCTGCTATATACTGACGAAAGGTTACGCACTACCTACCAAAAGGTCGCTTGACGAAATAAAAGTTCTGAATGTAGTTATAAAATATAGTTTTAAAAGATGAATTCTTAAAGTTATAAAATATAGTTATAAGCATGCTTATATCCACGCGTGACTCATAACCGTGATGAGCCCACGCACATACATATACATGTACACATGCGCGCAAACACACGCACACACATATACATGATACTACACCGCAGCACACTGCACAATACACACACACCATGCGCACGCACGCACGCACGCACATACATTACATGTAGCACACGCTGCGCAAAACACACGCACACACATATCCATATACACACGCCGACACTGCAGCTGCTGACAAATACGAACGCACGGCTACGCACGGCACGCACGCACGCCGGCACACACATAGACATATACACACGCGCACAACACACCGCACACAATATACATATACACACGCAACACACGCACCAGACACAAAACACACGCACGCACGCACGCACGCACACACATATACATATACACACACGCACACGCACACACATATACATATACACACGCGCACACGCACAAACACACACACACACGCACGTACGCACGCACGCACACACATCTACATATACACACGCGTACACGCACAAACACACACACGCACACACATATACATATACACATGCGCACACGCACAAACACACACACGCACACACATATACACACGCGCACACGCACAAATACACACACGCACAAATACACACACGCACAAATACACACACACACGTGCACACGCACAAACACACAC